TAAAGAAAATATAAATTTCTGATTTAAATTTATATTAAATGAAAAGTAAATAATTTAAATTTCAAAATGATATTAAAATTATATTTTATAGTTATTAATTACCACCTATTTTTACTAAAACCTTTTGTAAATGACAAAAATTTTAATGCTTTATGAGTAATTTTTCAAAATAAGAATATTTATTTAAAGCTTTAAAAGAGTTAAATTTAAATTCTTTTGAACTTAATTATATTTTAAATGTGGATATAAACATATAAAAGCAAAAGTGTATTTGTTTTTGTATTTATATTTTTAATTTTTTGAATAATTATTATAGGATACTTCATTTATGAGCCTTATATTGATGCTGTTATTATTAGTTTACTGTCAACTCTTTCTAGTTAAATTGATTATAAAAACGAGTTTTATTCTGTATATAGTATCGACTTCGGAATGTAAAATATAGTATAGTTATTTAATACAACTTTAAGTGAGAACGCATATTCAGTATTAATTCATGAGTTCAATCAAACAGTAGAATTTTATTTATAATATTATTTTTTTATTATATTTTAATTTATAATTAGGTATTTTATCATCCTATGCTAATATTTTAAAAGGTATTGTCTTGGGCAGATTTAGAATATATTAATATAAATTAATTTTGCAGCTATTCCGTGGAATTAATGTAATAATGCTATAACTAAAAAGAAGATTTTTCTAATTAAATAGATGAGACAATTCAATTTATCAAAAATGGTCATTATTCTATTGAAGATCAATTTAACTTGAATTTATTGTATTAAAGATGGGAAAGATTTGGATAAAAACTGTAATTTTATATTTATTTATTTACTTATTATTTGTACATTTATAATTTTTTAAAAAAAGTATAAGCATAATTTTCCCTATCAAGAGCTAGATGAAAGGATTTAATAACTAAGAGCCATATTCTTACGCTATAATAATGACAGCAAGAGTAATAACTGATAGAAGTGATCATCTAAAGTTGTTTAATCTTTTGAATGTGAATTATTTAAGAATACCACTGATTGTAGAATTTATTGTGGTTAGCTCTATTATTATCATCTTTTTAATTTATTATGGCTATTTTTTAATTTTTTAAATTTATAATCCAATCTAGCTGTTAATTTTATTCTTAAGAAGAAGCTACATGGAGTAATAATCTTGTTAAGTAAGCTAAAAAATAAAAAATCAAATCAAATAGAGTTAATAAATAAAATAAATAAATCTTTAATAATCCAAAAAA